GCGAAAAAAAAAGTGGAAAACAACAATCACCACTTCAAGAATAGCAAAGGGGGGGCCCCACTTAAAGCTTGCCGATTATGGTGGTCTCGGCAATCATGGAGGTAACAACGTAAGGGTCCATGTTCGAGGCTGGCCTTCGGTCCTCAAAGTACCCTTTGCCATCCTTCTCCGTGTCTCGGCCCACACGGATAGACGCACCACGGTTAGCAACTCCCTAAAGCAAAAGAAAAATGAGTGCAAAAACAAATTGTTACCGACTTTTTTCTCGCAAAAAAATAAAATTTATAACTATCTCTACGGCTGGAATCATTATCAGGTTTATTTTCCCAAATTAGTAAATATTGACTTGGTACATTACAATAGGAGTGAATTTTGAGGTAAGGATTGGAGGAAAAAAGGTAATTGTCGGTTTTACCCATTTGAAGGTGTTGATGTCAGCAGTCTCGTGTTTTCCTGTAAGGCGACGCTCGTTTCCCTCACCATAGGCAGCAATGTGCTCCTTGTGACGAAGGCCAAGCTTCTCGATTGCCTTCTTGATGACTTCATAGCCACCCTCTTCTCTCATGGATTTGGTGCTGAGAGGATTTAAGAGAGAAATGTCAGGAATCTCAATGGGGACATAGTAATTACTAATTTTAGAGCATCACAATTCCTATATACATAAACCATATCAATAAAAAAAAATAAAAAAAAAATAAAAAAAAAAATCACCTGTAGTTAGTGTGAGCACCAGCACCATTCCAGTCACCCTGGAAGTGGGAGAAACTAAACAGATGAATAAATTGATAATAACTACAGTAATATACATATCTACTTAATTTTTTTATTTTTTATTTTTTCCATTTCAAACTACGAAAAACTACTCTAAAATGGACAACAATAAATGTTCACCTCGATAGGCTTGGGGTCAAATGAAACAACCACTCCAGCAATTTCAGTGATCCTCTGTCAAAAAGACAAGAAAAAAAGCAAATGTTGTATTTCAGCATAAATTAGTTGATTCCCACGCTAGCAATGCGAAACCAGAGTAGAAATATATTTTACCTCCAAAATGTAACGTGCAATCCACACCTCGTCGCCAGCTGAGATGCCCACAGAAGGTCCAACTTGAAATTCCCACTGAAAAATAATGCGTGAGGAGCGAACAGAACAATGTTAAGAGCAGAACTAATGTGAAATAAACTATCTTGCCAAGAAAATTATTATTTTTTAAGTTCTAAGGCAGCAAACATAAATTACCTGGCCTGGCATCACTTCTCCATTGATGCCGCTTATGTTGACGCCGGCATAAAGGCAAGCCTTGTAGTGAGAATCCACAATGTCGCGCCCAAAAGCTTTTTCAGCTCCAATTCCACAGTAATACGGGCCCTACAATCAATCGAAGACTAGATTATAATCATTGCACAAAGGTTACTCTCTCTTTTTTTTTTTTAATTAAGATGAAAAAAAATATTATTGGAATGAAGCATGAAAATCACCTGAGGACCTGGATAACCTCCAGTAGGCCATCCAAGAGGCCACTTAACATCCTTTTGCAACAACGTGTACTCTTGCTCAATACCATACCTATTGGATACGAATTACATCACAGTATGAACGTGTGGAAATTAGAAAAAGAACAAACTATGGACCAGAATTTAAAAATTAATTCTATCTTAAAATACGCACCATGGTTCTTCAGCAGCAACATCAGGATGGCTAAAGATCTTTGCCGCATTATGTCTCTTGTTTGTCGGGATCGGTTCACCAGCTGGAGTGTAAGCATCACACATAACCTAACACAACAGGAAA